GACTGCAGTATCAACACAGGGTGGGGGTTCTGCCAAATGGCTTGGCAGAAGGATAATACTTTAAAATTACATTAAGGCCCAGCCTGAGGAGGGAATAAAGAATGAGAAACAGCTGATGATACAGTTAGTGGGTGGAATAGACTCAGAGTGTCAGAGGACAGGAGGTTACGGTCAGAAAGTAGTAGTGGGTGTGGAGGGATAATGAAGGTGAAGGTCACTATGGTTAAGAAGATCAAAGAATGTGAGAATGGTATAATCCATATGATCACTAAAGTCTTGCAGAGTAATAGCAGGATTTATGGTAAATCAGTGGTTCTCAAATCAGAGTCACTTGGAGGCTTGATAAAAAATAAGACTACTGGGCCCTACTCCCAGAATTTCTATTTGTTAAGCCTGAGGTGAGACCCAAGAATGTGCTTTTCAGCTGCTGGTCTGTAACTATACTTTGAGGATCACTGTGGAAGAGGAAAGATATAGGCAGGAGGCATTAATAAATGACACTAGGGCTGGGAGATTGGAGGCTAAAACATGACAAAGATAAAGAGACGTGGGAGGTGATGTAGCCAAAAAGTGATGCATTGGTAGGCTCAAAGGAGCAGGGATTCTGAAACAAGGTAGAAATATAATGGTTCAGAAAGGACACTGGGAGAGGAGCATGCTCTTCCCGTCTTCCCGAAACTAAGGAAAGTGGGATAAAGGAAAAGCACATGCTCTGAACAGGCTGCAAGGAAAGGGGTGAACTTAAGAGAAGGCCACAGATTAATTAAAAGCAGGAGCAGAGCAGAAATGGACTAAGGATATAGGGAATCCTGTTACCAGAGAAAGAGGGATCCAGAGAGCTTGGGAGAACGGGAGCAGTGCTCATTTCTCTCGGTATAGAACAAGAGTAAGCAAAGACCACTCTCAAGCAGCCAGGGAGACTTTTATTTGGGGTCACCCTCTCTTTCCATTCTAATCAAGCTTTCACCTCCACTACTCCACCAAAACTGCCCTTCTCAAGACCAATAACCTTCACACCACCAAATCCAACAATCAATATGAAGTTGTCCTCTTGCTGGATGCATCAGCAGCATTTGGCACAACTGATCCCTCTCCTTGAGCTCTTTTCTTTAGTTTGGTGTTTAAAACATGGTTAACTTCTGGGCACCTGGGTGGCTCAGAGGGTTAGGCCTCTGCCTTCGGCTCAGGTCATGATCTTAGGGTCCTGGGATCGAGGCCCACATCGGGCTCTCTGCTCTGCTCAGCCTGCTTCCCCCTCTCTCTCTGCCTGCCTCTCTGCCTACTTGTGATCTCTCTCTGTCTGTCAAATAATTAAATAAAGCCTTTGGGGCGCCTGGGTGGCTCAGTGGGTTAAAGCCTCTGCCTCGGCTCAGGTCATGATCCCAGGTCCTGGGATCGAGCCCCACATCAGGCCCGCTCAGCGGGGAGCCTGCTTCTCCCTCTCTCTCTGCCTGCCTCTCTGCCTACTTGTGATCTCTGTCTGTCAAATAAGTAAATAAATAAAACCTTTAAAAAAAAAACAAAATATGGTTCACTTCCGTGATGCCTGGGTGGCTCGGTTAAGTGTCCGCCTTCGGCTCCGGTCATGAACACAGGATCCTGGGGTCAAGCCCTGTATCGGGCTCCCCGCTCAGAGGACAACCTACCTCTACCTCTCCCTCTGCCATTCCTCCTGTTTATGTTTTCTCTCTCAAATAATATATAAATACTTTAAACAAACAAAAACATGGTTCACTTTCTAGTTCAATTCCTACTCATTCCCCATCTCTTTTGATGGGCCCCTATCTTCTAACCTTGAAAGACTGAGGTACAGAAAAGCTCTACCCTCCAACCTTTCTTCTCTAACTACACTCACACCTTAGGTGACCTCTAGTCTGTTAGAGGACTCAGTGCTGAGAGTTCCCAAATTTAAATCTCCAGTCCAGATCTCTGCCTGAATTTTTAACTCCCTAATCCTCTTAATTTTCTAAACAAGGAGTAGACAAAACAAAACATACCCAAAAACATCTTTTCCAACAAGGGAAGACTAAGAAAACCTTTCCAACAAAAGACTAAGAAAGACTGAGAGGAGATCAAGGAGACATGATGGATGACTAATTTCAACATGGTATCCTGGACTGGATGCTGGAACAAAAAAGGATGGTAGTGGAAAAAAAATGGCAAAATCCAAATGTAGTCTACAGTTTAGTTTATACCAGTGTTAATTTCTTAGTTTTGACCAAAGGCCAGAGTTGGTTATATAAGATATTAACATTAGACAAAGCTGGGTGAAGGATATATGGGAATTCCCAGTACTATCTTTGTAACTTTTCTATAAATCTAAAATTATCTCAAACTAAAGAGTTTTCAAAACAAACAACACCTTTTCTCTCCCAGCAGTTTTACCACTTCAGTATCTGGCAATTCTGGTTTTTTTTTTTTTTTTTTTTTAAAGATTTTATTTTTAAAATAAGCTCTACAGCTAATGTGGGGCTCGAACCTATAACCCAGAGATCAAAGTCACATGCTCCACGGACTGAGCCAGCCAGGCGCCCCAGCAATTCTAATTTTACATTACTCAGACACAAAAGCCTTGACTTGGTCCTTGACCCCTCTCATTCTCTTGCAGGCAACATCTTGTCTATTTGCAAATCCCAACAGTTTTATCTTCCAAATACATCCAAAGTGTAACGCTCTTACCTCTTCCAACACTACTACCCTAGTCCAAGTCTCTATCATCAACTATGTGAATTACTGCAACAGCTTCCTAACTTGTCCCCTTGCTTACTTAAGAGCCAATTCTCCAAACAGCAGGCTAAGTGATTGTTTTAGAGTGCTAGTGATATCATGTCATCCTTTTTCCCCAAAACCTCTAGCTGTTTCTCATATTCTTAATCAGAACCAAGTCCAAGGGCTTCACATGATCCAGTCCTTGTGACTTCTCTGACCTCCTCTACTGCCTGCCTCTTCCGTTGCTCACAATGTCTCCCCTCCCACCCGAATCTAAACTTGATTCTCCCTCTGCTTGGATAGTCTTCAGAGAGCCACATGGTGCGCTGCTGCATTTCCTTCTGGTCTCTATTCAAGCGTCTCCTCAAACAGACGAACCTAGTTAGACAAATGCTGCTGTTACTGTCCTTTTAACCTGCTTTATATTCTCTTTAGCCCTTACCCATCACCTGGCATATTAAATATTGGTTTAAGAACTTTCTGCCTGCCTTCCCTACCAGAATGTGAATTTCACCAGTACTGTACCCCCAGTATTGAGAACAGTGCTTGTACATAAATATTTATTCAATAAATGTGAATAAAATATTCTCAAAAATATGTGGGTATGTGAGGTCAAGAGAGATTTCTTAGAACTCTAAGATGGCCTCTATACAGGTATGTGGCCTGCATACAGGTGTGTGTGCCCTGAATAATCTCCTCCCCTTGAGTATGGATGGGGCTGATCCAATCAGGTGAACCCTTTAAAAAGAGTCTAGGGATCAAAGATAGAAGTCAGAGAGATTTGAACAATCTGTAACACATGTGTTCTTACAGACCTTGAAAAAAAAAAGTACCATGTTGTGTAGAGGGCCATGTGGTAGGAAATTGCAGGTAACCTCTAAAAGCTCAGTGACCGCCCCCCAGCCAATAGCCAGCAAGAATATGGGGGTCTCATTCTACACCCATAAGGAACTATATCTTACCAACAACCAGTGAGAGGAGAAGAGAATCCTATGACTCAGATGAGACTGCCTCCCTGGCCAAATTCTAGTCCTGGGAAGCTCTGAGTAGAGAACTTGGCTAACCCCTAACCAGACTCCTGACCCAAAGAAACTGATACAATAAATGTGTTCTCTTAAGCCACTACACTTGTGGCAATTTGTTATAAAGCAAAAGGAAACTATTAACCAGCCTTACGAATTCAAAAACAACTCTAGTATATCATTACTTTGGTTCACATACAAGTTGACATCCCAAGAGGAAGAAGTGCCTAATGAAGCAAATGAGAACTAGAACTATTAAGCCAGTGTGAAAACAGACCCAGGCAGGAGGTAACTTCATGTGTTGGGCTGGGCTATGTACATTGAACTGGAGGGAGACCAGATGGTGAAGGTCCATGAGGAAGAGCTACTGAAATGAAGATGGTTAGCCTAGATGAAATACATACCTAGGGCAAAATGAGAAGTGTCTTCAAATACCGCAAAAAAGTTGATGTGCAATTAGGGGGAGGGAAACTGTGAGGAGAGAGACTGGTTGCTGTGTTGCTTCAGAGGGGAGAACTTTAACCAGGGCATAGAAAGTATTTACTGGAAAGAAGTTTTCAGTTCAATGTAAGGAAGAACTTTCCAACAGCCAGAGCTGAGTACTTATTATGTTCTAAGAGCTATGTTAAGCAACAGGGATATAAAAATGAAGAAAGAGGGGTGTCCGGCTGCTCAGTTGGTTAAATGCGGGACTCCTGATTTTGGATCAGGACATGATCTTGGGGTCGTGAGATTGAGCCCCGCATTGGGCTCTGTGTTCAGCTGGGAGTCTGCTTGGGATTCTCTCCCTCTACCTCTCTCTGCCCTCTCCTGATGCTGGTGTGACAGATGGACTAAGAGAAAGAAACCGAAGATGGCAAGAGTGGTCAGGACCTCCTGCAGATAAGCAGACAAGAGACAAGTTCCTTGCAGGCTGGAACGAGGACAGGTAGTGGAGATGTCATCATCCCCTACTTGTGCTTTCATGATTAAAAATAAAAAATCTTATAACCAAACATCTGTAAGACCCGTATCTGCATTTTAAAAAACCCTTACTAAATTTCTTGTCTGTTAAGAAAAGAAGTTCCCTATTTGTATTTGCTTATGATATATAGAAACTAAGTGGTTACCTACTGGGGTGGGGAGCAAGTGGTGGCAGGACCCAGGCAGATGATGAACAAGGATAGAAAGAGCTGTTTCACTGTGATTTCAGGTTCCTCAACTGTGTGAATTTATTATCTATTAAAAATAAAACAAAACAAAACATTTCCACCCTCTAGATAGATTTACCTGTGTGAGTTTCCACATTCTTTAGCACATGGTTCTGTTTGCCTCGGGGGAAAGATGTTACTTGAGGATCCTGCCTCCTTACAGCACATTTTTCTGGGTCAACCCTTCTGGAAGACTTGTTGACGACTGCCAAGTTCCCATTGTCACAGGCAGATTTTGCTGGTCTTTCATTAGGATTATCCTTTGGAATGGGGGCCGTGTTGTTCCTGGGTCCGGCATTTGTAAGTCGTTGGCCCTCTTGTTTTGGTGGATTCCTGCCTGGTCGTGGCCTGGCCCCTTCCACTTCCCAGGGAGGCCTTTTCTGTGGGTATCTTCTCTGCTCGTTGCGTCTGGCTGCATATCCATCCAATACTCCTTTTTTAAAGGATGTATCCAAAGAGTCAGGGTGCATAACCCCCAGAGGTTTGGTATTTTCAGGTCCAGCATCCTCGGATTTTGGAGTCATTCTGTAACTCCACTCACATTTGAGTTTTCCCTTGACTTTTGGTCCTCTACCATAGCTGTACACAAATTGGGCTGCTTTTTTGGGTTTTGCTCCCCTGGGATCTGCACCAACAATTTCCTTCTCATTCTCAGAAGGGCTGTGTTCTCTGGGGTTTGTCCCACTCTCTGACCTACCCACACTTTCTAAGCCAGCTGCATCTGAGGTCTGGTCAGTGAGATTCTGTACTTTCTTAACTTTGATATGCTGTTTTTCACTCCTCAATTTCTGCCAAGGTTGGTTCTGAAGGCCATGGTTCTTGAGTGATTTGTTAGAAGCAGAGTACTGAAAAGAAATCTGTTGACTTTTAGGTTTGCTTCCCAAAGGATAACCATGCTGATGAACAGCAGAGATGTCATCATAAGGGACTTGCCTGGAAAGGTGACAGGGAGGTGGTGAACTATAATTTCTTCTACCAATCCTATTAGAATCTAGTCTCCTTTGACTCCCACAACTTAGACCAGAATTTTTTCTCTCCTGAGGAATAAACTCAGCAGCATCCGTGTTGAATTTAAAAGTACCTAGGACATTAGAAAATAGACATGTCAGTGAAGAAATAAATCATCACCCATGAAGCCCAGAAGACTCTAAGTCATTATCTAAACATTACTTTCCTAAAGACTTGTATAAATACAACAGGCTCTTAGTGAGGCCTGTGTTTCCTGTGAATATGATGGGTTCAAGATGCTTGTGGAACGCTGACCATTCCATGTCCAGTAACCTCACCAATAGCCACTGCTAAGAACTACTAACTAAAACTGCTCACCTGGGTGACCAAGCATTATTATTATTTTAAATGTAAGCTCCATGCCCTATATGGGGCTTGAAATCACAACCCCAAGATCCAGAGTCGCATGCTGTTCGGACTGAGCCAGTCAGGCATCCTGATCAGGCATGATTTATGTATCTAGTTACTTTATCAAAAAATTTCAAGTCAGCAAACAATTTGGGGGTGAGAATCAACGAGCAGATTCCATGTGGTCTTTCAAAACTCTTAAGGTAGCATTGCATAATATCAAGTAAACAGGTTTTGGAGTCAGCCAAAATCAGTTTGAAGTCTGGCTCTCCAATTTATCATAGGAGCTTAGGAATATCACTTGATTGCTTTTAGCCTTCATTTCCTCATCCTGAACAGAAGATGATACTATTTCAAAAGGCTATTGTGAAGTTTAAGTAAGATTTCATATAGATAGTACTTAACATAATGAGTATATTAGTTCCCATCTCTTCCCCCAACCCAGGAATATATTTTAGGTTTACCATATATAACCTTTATAATATAGTCCAGAATCCGAGTCCCAAAAATTAAGTATATGCCTCTTCAACCCACTCATTTCCTTCCCCCAATGTGATTTTTTTTTCCTGAAGCCCAAAGAGTAAATGATTTGCCTAACGACACAACACTAGTTAGTAGAAAAGTCAGAATTATGTGTAACATATGGATTATACAGTTGACCTCTGAACAACACAAGTTTTGAACTATACAAGTCCACTTATATGTCAATTTTTTACAGTACAGTAAACATATTTTCTCTTCCTTATGATTTTCTTGGTAACATTTTCTTTAGCTTACTTTATTGTAAGAGTACAGTATATAATACATATATCATGCAAAATATGTGTTACTTGACTGTTTATGTTACTGGTAAGGTTTCTAGTCAATAGTAGGCTGTTACTTGTTAAGTTTCTGGGGAATCATAAATCATCATGCGATGTTTAAGGGTCAACTACGTTACGATTCAGTGGGGCTTGGAAGACATGGGTTTACAACCCTGCCATCACTTGTGTCTTTATGCAAATGACTTAACCCAAATTTTCTTATAAGGAATGGAGAAAGTAACAATCCCTACATCAGAGAGTTGCTATGAAGAATAAAGCAAATTAGTGACATACATAAAGTGGTTAAAATGGTGCTTTATTTTTGCAGTTAGGACTACAGACTAAAACACACAGACCTGACCTCAGATGGGTGCAGTGCAGAGTGTGGGTTTCAGGTTTAATAATAAATGCCAACACTTACTAGGTAATTAACATGTGCCAGGCACTATTCTAAATACTTTGCATCTGTTAACCTATTTAATCCTTCCATTCCTGACAAGAAAGGTGACACTGAGAAATATACTTGCCAAAGGCCACAGAGGTGTTCCAAAGCAGACTCAGGATTCCACCCCAGGCTACATGGCCCTAGAGACCACACTCTTACACAGCACTGTCAGAGGCTGGGAGGTGGGTACCATAGAAACATATACTGAAGAACTGAACGAGATCATAAAGGTCATAGGATAACCTCTCACTCAATTCAGGATGTGTCCTGAAAGCATTCACACAGGCAATTCTGGGGATTGGGTGGAAAGCCTTACAAAACAAAGAGGATTATAAAGATTCAGAAGGTGGCAAGAAACATAAGAGAGAACATAAAGGTGGGAATGGGTAGATTAGATCAAGTGGGTGTCATATAGTCCGCTCCTTCTTGAAGAAACAAAGTTGGAAAGAGGCAGAAGAAAAGTCAGTTAAGTTGTCCGAACAGCCTAGTAAAGGATGGGAAGAACGTGTTCCATGCTAAGCAAGAAGGAGTCGATGCAACTAGGGAGTCTAAACAGGGCAGCACTATTCAAACACAGTATGGTTCCATTAGACATGAGGTAGTTGGTAATGCCTTCAGAAAGACCCTTGAGAGATAGGAGGAAGGGAAAAAAGAGCACAAAAATCAGGAATCTGCACCTGAGACACAAAGATGTGAGATACCTTCTTTTTCTCCTCAGTATTTTAAGTAGCTGGAAGTTACTCAGTAAACAGGATATAAGTGGTACCCTAGATCGAAGATAACACAGCAGCATAGTGTGTCCAACAGGTGAGAGGAGAAGAATAAGGGGAAATCCAAGAGATTATGAAGTCAAGAAACAAAGCTGGCATTGGAGAATCTGCCCATGGGCAGAAAGATATACCTGAACCTGTTATTGAGGAAATAAGTGGGCAAGAGAACTAAACCCTGAGTGGAGATGGAGGTGTGGGCTAAAGATGATGCTGAAATAAGAGCATGGAATAGGAACCAAGACAAAAGCAAACTAAGGGGGACACCGGGGTGGCTCAGTTGGCTAAGTGTCTACCTTCGGTTCAGGTCGTGATCCCAGGATCCTGGGATTGAGCCCCGCGTGGGGCTCCCTGCTCAGAGAGGAGCCTGCTTCTCCCTCTACCTGCTGCTTCTCCCTCTGCCTGCTGCTCCCCCCACTTGTGCTCACTCACTCTCTCACTTGGGCTCTCTCTCTGACAAATAAGTAAATAAAATCTTTAAAAAAGAAAAGAAAAGAAAGTAAACTAAGGAACAGGAGAGGGACTGGAGAGGTCTCTGGACTAGGGAAACATGCCATAGTAGATGTGGGGGTGGATAGCTGGAACCTGGGGCACAACAAGGAAGGCCAAAACTATACCTCACAACTGGCCTCATCCAATCCTGCCTCAAACACTGAAGGGTGTAGAAATGGGCCAGAAGGGAGCCTGAGGATGGGAAGATCAATGGATCCAGTTTAGAAGATCTGGGGGGAAAAATGGGTGGGAGAATAACAAAACACCACACTAACCTAAAAGGTTCCCATCCCACAAGATTTAAAACCTAAATCAGGACTAGGGTTTGACAAATAAAACTTTTCTGACCAAGAACCAAAGTAACAAGTACATTTTAGTGGCCACCCAGTACACAAACATACATATACTCTTCTTGGTGCCCCAACACCGGTAAGTGGCAGAACTAAGACTAAAATCAATGTTTACAAACCACATGCGGCAAACTGCTGTCCTGTTTTTCCAGAAAGAGTGGGTCCTGAAATGAAATCAATGTAGTGGGTTGTGACAAGTATTTCTTCAAAGAAAACAGAAAATAGTGTATTGCAGTTAGTAAGAAAAAGCATTACCTCCTAAAACTTTCGGTTCTTTTTTATATTATACACATATGTGCACTAAATCAGATGTAAAACGTTTCTTTTTGGTGTCTGCCCAAAAGTTTGGAGAACAAAGACCTAAAGTACACCTTGAAGGAAATGGAAATGGATGCTACATGAACAGCCAAACGAAGCTGTTCTACACACAGAACCAACCCCAAGATAAGTGAGCTAACAATTACGGAACAGGTACCGTACAGGGCGGGAGCCTTCAGAGGAATTTACTTATTTACCCCCAGACGACGGATGAGGAAACTAAGACTCAGCCACACTGCGTGGCAGTCTGAGAATGGAAACCAATGGTGTTCGGCTCGCTTTCGTTCTGCTGCCCCAGGACGCGCCAACCCGCCACGCATCGAGAGTCCGCCACCGTCACGGGCGGTGACTCGGCCGACGCCCGCCTGTTGGAGATTAGTGCGGCCTCTGCCCCAGTAGAGCCGGGCTGAAGGCGGGACGCCCACATCGATTCACTGGGCGCCGGGACAAACCCGCTCTCCCTGGAAACCCAGCTGCGGGGCTTCACGACCCAGTGGAGGACGGTAGAGGTCTCGGTACCCACGACGCGCGTGGCTTGGCCCTTCCGAGCCACTATTCCGAGCCCTAGTTCCCACTATCCCGACCGCCACTCTCGCGGTATGAATGGCCGGAGCCCTAGGACTCGCCACTGACCCAACTTCCGCCCCCCGAGAGGGGCCCAGTCCCGCGCGGGCCGGGACAGTACCTGAGACAGGAGGCGCCTCCGCCATCCCGTGCCGCAACTCCTCAAGCGAGCCCTGCAACCTAGAGAGGGCTGTCACCCGGTCACGTGTCTTTGACTTCCGGCGCCGCAAGAATATTCGCATCTGCGCGCGGGGTGGATGGCCACGGAGGTTGCGCGGCCCAAGTGAACTGGGAGGTGCGTCCGTGACGTCAGACACAAGCGCCAGGCGCTGGCCTGGAGGAGGAGATTAGAGGCTGTTTGTAGGTGGGGAGGATCACGTTTGTGTGCTGGCAGGAATTTGCGCAGTCATTGTTTTTCATTTTGAGATTGACGGTCTTTTTTTTGCTACTGTGCGCTTCTGTCCTGGCACCCAACTAACTTCACCTGGCCTTCCGTAGTTAACTCAGACATTACTTTCTACCTGGAGTAGTGTGGCTTTGGGGTTAGAAAACAACAAAAAACCCCGCTAAGTAGTCAAAAGGGAACCTGCGTGAAAATAGGCGCAAAACAAACAAAAACCCGATAAAGGGCTAATATACGAAGAATGCTTAAAAATCAGAAAACGATAAGTCAAAAGAACCTAAAAAAAAGAACCCCACAAAAAACCCCGATTAACCATGGATTAGAAATGGTAAAGAACTTGAACGGGCAGATGACAATAAAATATAGATGGATACTGAACGTGAGTGGAAAACTTTGGAGGCACCAATAATTTATAAAGTAAAATTTTAGGGGCGTATGGGTGGCTAAGTTGGTTAAGTGTCGCCTCACGCTCTCTGCTCAGCGGGGATTCTCCCTCTTCCTCTGCTCCTCACCCCGCTCATGTTCTCTCTCTTAAATAAATAATAAAATAAGATCTTTAAGAAAAAGCAACAAAATTTTATTTGACATAGAGATGCCCAGAGAGGGAACACAAGTAGAGGGAGTGGGAGAGGGAGAAGTAGGCCTCCTGCTGACCAGGGAGCCCTATGTGGGATTGGATTCCAGGACTCCGGGATCGAGACCTGAGCTAAAGGCAGATAGGCTCCTCAAAAGTAACAAAATTTTAAATGAATGTATGTAGTTCGTTATTGCATTACTAAGTAGAGCACAACATGTAAGCGTGAAGCATGTGTATTTGTAACCTAATTCACTGGTCCAGGCTTCCCCCAAAATACAAAATAGATTCATTTATTCATATGTATTTTAATGCAGACTCTCCTAGGCATTGCTTTAAGTGCTGGAAGTAAATGGTGAAAAAGACAAACATGGTCCCCACCCTCGTGAAGTGGATTGTCTAGTAGAGGAGATTAAGAACTAAGTAATTAATATTTACAAATTAATACGTTTTAAATAATTTCAAATTATGTTAGCATTGTGAAAGAAATAACATAAATCATTAATTTTGACAGATCAGTTCACCAAACCAACCAACCAACCATACAGTCACCTTTAGAAATTACCAGATGTTGGGGTGCCTGGGTGGCTCAGTGGGTTAAGCCTCTGCCTTCAGCTCAGGTCATGATCCCAGGGTCCTGGGATCAAGCCCCACATCAGGCTCTCTGCTCCTTGGGGAGCCTGCTTCCTCCTCTCTCTCTGCCTGCCTCTCTGCCTACTTGTGAGCTCTGTCTGTCAAATAAATAAATAAAATCTTAAAAAAAAAAAAAAAAGAAATTACCAGATGGATCAGTCTGGGTCCAATCAGGTGAGAGGAACCACACAGTCATTTGAACAGAGAAGATTTTATTTATTTAAAGGCTTACTAACTATAACAGAGAATTGGAGTAATAAGGAATTGACTAGGGGCGCCTGCATGGCTCAGTGGGTTAAAGCCTCTGCCTTACGCTCAGGTCATGATCCCAGGGTCCTGGGATTGAGCCTCACATCGGGCTCTCTGCTTGGAGGGGAGCCTGCTTCCTCCTCTCTCTCTCTGCCTGCCTCTCCACCTACTTGTAATCTCTGTCAAATAAATAAATAAAATCTTAAAAAAAAATAAGGAATTGACTAATAAAAAAGTAAAAAGAACTCAAATAAAATAGGATTAGCAATATAAGGAGCAGCCACTACCTCTATGGTTAAGATAAACTGTCTAATGAAGATCACCCCAGAGCTGAAGTGCAGACCTTGTCAGAGAGCATGTTGTCCTGGCTCACTAGATGGCAGGGAAGTGGCTGTGGTGCTGCAGTAGCAGAAGCTGCCAGAAATCTAGATTTCTGTAGGGGAAAGTCATTCTTGGGGAGGTGTCTCAGAAGAGGCACTCTACTGCAAACCACCTGAGAGGGTGCCAAGAGAAGTTTGTGGCTGTTCGCCACCACAAACTGAAAAGGCCAGGTCCTGAAGAAGCCCTGTAAGTTGCAGGAGCCAAATACTGGAGAAACTGCCCACAGCCCAAAAGCTTGCCTAACTGAAACACTAGAAACAGGAAACAAAAGCTTTTCCTCCTGTAATATCTCTCTGGTGCCCTCTATTGACAAATCTTCATATCTGCCAGCTGATAAAGGATAAATTAAAAGGGTGCTAATCATTTCACAGAGCAGGCAACAAGCATAAATTTGGAACAATGGCAATATTCATAACTGGAATACTAGGGAATCTTCTCATTATTTTTTAAAACATCTAAAAACTGGAAGCGAACATTTATCCTGTCTTTCCTAGACAAACAGTACTTCATACAATATACCAAAACTTATGATACACTTGCATTGGAAAACAAGTGCAGGGGCTCCCCTGGCACCAGAATTTCTGGCCAGTGTGGCCATTTTGGCTTCCTGACCTTGGACTACTACTGCTGGTCACTGTCTGCAGCCATTCCGTGTGGCCATGTCTGTGCCTACACCAAAGCTGCTGAGGGACCTCACAGGCTTCACCTAGCGGCTCCCCTACAGCATGCCCAGATCCATTCCAAGCCACTGCTGGAGGAGCTCGGGACCATGGATGTCGCCATTGGGATCACTGCCTGCTTCCTTTTTCCTCCTGCCATCAGGTTGGGTCCTGTCACATCTGGAGTGCTACAAGAAGTGGGAATGAATGGGGGTGTTCTGTCCCTCACCCTGTGACCTGACCATCCCTGCCCTCTCCTGATCATGTCTACTGCATTCCTGGCCAGCCATCCCTGGATCATGTCTTTCAATTACAGTGACCTCTTCGGCAATCATGAACTCTCTATTTCTCCATGGTCACATCCTCAGACCACATATATTGGTGTATAAGGCCCTACTCGTCAGGGCTCTCCTTGTAACAATAAAGTCTATTTTTTTTTAAGATTTTATTTTTATTTATTTGACAGAGAGAGACACAGCAAGAGAGGGAACACAGGGAGCGGGAGAGGAAGAAGCAGGCTTCCCACCAAGCAGGGAGCCCAATGTGGGGCTTGATCCAGGACCTTGGGACCATGACTTGAGCCGAAGGCAGCCACTTAATGATTGAGCCACCCTGGCGCCCCAATAAAGTCTATTTAAACCAAGGGAAGCAAGGGCAAAAATGAACTATTGGGATTTCATCAAGATAAAAAGCTTTTGCATAGCAAAGGAAACAGTCAACAAAACCAAAAGACAACTGACAGAGTGGGAGAAGATATTTGCAAGTGACATATCAGATAAAGGGCTAATATCCAAAATCTATAAAGAACTTATAAAACTCAACACCCAAAGAACAAATAATCCAATCAAGAAATGGGTGGAAGACATGAACAGACATTTCTGCAAAGAAGACATCTGCTCAACATCACTTGGCATCAGAGGAATACAAATCAAAACCACAGTGAGATACCACCTCACACCAGTTAGAATGGCTAAAATTAACAAGTCAGGAAATGAAAGGTGTTGGTGAGGATGTGGAGAAAGGGGAACCCTCCTACACTGTTGGTGGGAATGCAAGCTGGTGCAGCCACTCTGGAAAACAGTATGGAATTTCCTCAAAAAGTTGAAAATAGAGCTACCTATGACCCAGCAATTGCACTACTGGGTACTTAACCTAAAGATACAAATGCAGTGATCTGAAGGGGTACGTGCACCCCAATGTTTATAGCAGCAATGTCCACAATAGCCAAACTATGGAAAGAGCCCGGATGTCCATCAACAGATGAATGGATAAAGAACATGTGAAAAAATACACACACACACACACACACACACACACACACACACACACGCACGATGGAATATTATGCAGCTATTGCAATTTGCAATGATGTGGATGGAACTAGAGGGTATTATGCTAAGCAAAATAAGTTAATCAGAGAAAGACAATTATCATATGACCTCACTGATATCAGGAATTTGAGAAGACAGAGGATCATAGGGGAAGGAGGGAAAAATGAAACAAGATGAAACCAGAGCGAGTGACAAACCATGTGAGACGCTAAATCTCAGGAAACAAACTGAGGGTTGCTGGAGGGGAGGAAGGTGGGAGGGATAGGATGGCTGGGCTATGGACATTGGGGAGGTTATGTGCTACGATGAGTGCTGTGAATTGTGTAAGACTGATGAATCACAGACCTGCAACCTTGAAACAAATAATACATTATATGTTAATTTAAAAAAAGGAAATGCAAAAAAGAAAAGTCTATTTAAACCTTAAAAAAAAAAAGAAAAGTCCAGAGGTGCCTGAGTGGCACAGGTGCTTAAGCACCCAGTTCTTGATTTCAGCTCAGGTCATGATCTCAGGGTTGTGAAACTGAGCCCATCATCAGACTCCACATCCACCAGGGTGTCTACTTAAGATTCTTTCTCCCTCTCCCTCTGTACCCCTCCATAATAAATAAGTCTTTAAAACAAATAAAAATAAATAAAGTCCAGACACTGTAATATTATTCGCTACTAAGAAGAAATGAGCTGTCAAGCCATGAATAACACATGGAGGAAATATAAATGCATATTACTAAGTGAAAGAAACCAATCTGAAAAGGCTATATTATATATGACTCTAATGATATAACATTGTGGAAAAGGCAAACCATGGACATAGTAAAAAGCTCAGTGGCTTCCAGGATTCAGGGGGAAGGGAAGGATGAATGGGCAGAACACAGAGGATTTTTGGGGCAGTGAAACTATTCTTTATGATACAATGGTAGTTACATTGTCAAAATCTATAGAATGTACACCAAAAGTAAACTCTATGTAAACTATGGACTTTGGGTGATACTAAAGTGTCAGTGTAGGCTCATGGATTGTAACAAACGTACCACTGTGGTGAGGGATGTCTATAGTGGGGGAGGTTGTGCATGTGTGGGGACACGG